CAGGGGCGCCAGCCACGCACCGCCGCTGTGGTTGTGGTAGGCCATCACGGTCCACATCTCCACCTGCTGCACCTTCTCCCAGCCCCTCTGCTTCTGGGTCTCCGTCTCCCAGTACTGGGTGTCCACAGACGCCATCCACGGGGCCTGTGGCTCAGCCCTGCCAGTGCGACTGTCGTAGCGGATGAAGGGCTGGTCATCCACATATCCCACAGCCAGAAACCGGGGGAGGCCTGCGCCGGGCTCCGACAGGGCCAGGTAGTGGTAGTGCAGAGAGTGGGTCCCTGCAGGGACAAGAAGTGGGCCACACAGGCTGGTCTGCAGGGCCTGGGTATGGGGGTTGGTGATGGGGTGCAGAGGGGAAACCTGCGCAGAGTATGTGCGCAGCAAGATCGTAACTGGGGGTTTTAGATGGCGGGCGGGCAGCCAGCCAGTAGCCCAGTGGTTAAGAGAGCCAGATCCCAGGACCCCAGCAGGTGACTGCTGGGGGTGATGTCTTGCTCTCTGTGTACTCTGGGGGTGAGTGCACATGCCCTCTGGCAATTAAAGAAAGCTTTAAAATAAAGGGTGGGGCAAAAGGCTGAGGAATGGGGGAAGGAGGAGTTCCCGTGGTACGGAATTCCAGTTCGGGGAGGGGAGAGAGTTCTGGAGGTGGACACGGTGGCTGTACATACAGCCATGAATGCACGCAGAACCAGAGACCCAAACGCGGTTTCAGGCATTAAGGCCCCCAAGAATGCACTGATCCGATACAACAAACAGCCCTGACAGACATATACAGCACTCCACCCAGTAACTACAAAATACACTGTTTGGTCATCTCCACTTAAACATTTTCAAAGACTGGCCACACAGCAGGCTACCAAACCAGCCTATATACGTGTAAAGGTAAGGAACTACAGCCAGTATCTTCTCGGACTACAACAGAATTTGAAATCAACCACAGAAAGAGTCCTCAAAAATACACAAAAACAGGGAACCAGCAGTTAGCGTAATGGCTATGTCGCTGGACTTCCATATAGTTGACCGCGGTTCAAGTCCTGGACCCGGTGGCTTAAAACTCGCGCCGGGCGCGTGTGCGTGCGTGCCCAAGATCCCGAGAGGAGAATGGAGGAGAAGGAATTGCGGCGTGACCATCCCCCCTGGGGGGTGATTTCGCGCTTTCTGTCTCTATGTCTCTCTCTGTCTGTATGGCGAGCGCACGCGCCCTATAGTGAAAATCTCTCAAAAAAAAAAAATACACAAAAACACAGAGACTAAATGACCTACCCTGAGTGACTCTATTTATTTTTTAAAGAATTATTTTATTTAATTATTTTATTTATTTGTTTCTTTGTTTCTTTTTTCTTTCTTTATTTTTTGGAGAGGTTTTTGCTATAGGGTGCGTGTGTTCACCAGACAGACAGAGAGAGACAGAGAGACAGAAAGCGAGAAATCACCCCCCAGGGGGGATGGTCATGCCGCAATCCC